TATTTCAACAGAAGATGCAGGATTATTATTTGGAATTTACCCCTAACAATCAGAACTGCTTAAAATGCATTGTGAAATAATTTGTTTTCTATTGCTGGTTATGAAGACCATATGATTTTGGATTTATGATATTTTACTACTTAAGTCTGGAGGGATTTCTGCCAAGAGCTGGATAATTATGAGATTGGTTACGTGCCTCTGGGGCCTCTGGGGTCATGCCAGAGAGCTGCTCATGGGGGGCAACTTGTGGCCTCAGTAGGATGTGAAGGACATGCCGGTTCCACCCCCCATCCCATGAGGCTGCAGTTGGTACGTCACCACCGTCTCATACCTGGCTGTCCAATAAGCTCTGAGTTGGTGGCCACCAAGGTGGGTGTGGGGGGAGGGAGGCAGAAGAGACAGACACCCTTTCCCTCTGGGTGGGGGGCACACAGCACCATAGTTTAACGCATAGTCCATTCACTTTTCTGCTGTGAGCTGCTGGGTTCTGAATTAGGTCCGTGTGTCTAGGGCCACGGCCGTGCCAGAGAGCTGCTCGTGGGGGGCAACTTGTGGCCTCAGTAGAGTGTGAAGGGATTATAAAAATTTTAATCTTAATGTCTTATTAAGTTCTCAAGATTTTTGAATGCAAATGAGAAATAAAATACATTAAGATAAACTATGGTAAAGGCAAAGAAAGATCTTAATAGAGATAATTTACTTAAGTATGTTTTTAATCTGTTAAAATAGTATTGTTTTTTTAAATCCATTCTTAAACATCCTAATAAGGTAAAGTAACTAAATAACCAAATGCTATCTGCAATTTCCAAAGAACATCAGTCATTACCAATTGCCTTAGGCTTTTTCTTGGGCCAACACTATACATGATTGAATAATTATCCTTAATCAGTATAGTAACAAATAATGGCAGCTTCTAAGTTTTGGATATTTAGATCCAACTTAATTTCATTAAATTTATCTTGAAATCAGAACAGTCATCTGTCTCTTATTGAACATAAAATGTGTTTCTATTTAAAAAATGGAAGAAGTCAGTAGTGAATGATTTATGTAAAACTGTGGATTTAATTGTTAGATTTTCACTCTATATCCAAAATGCAGTCAGTCAATGGAAAGCACTTTTCTTATCCTTGATCTAAATACCTCATGTCTCATCATTAATAAGAAAAATCCCAAAGTCATGAACTTATTTATTTTTTGATGAGTGCCAGATCTAAATAGTCAAACTTCAAACTACCTAACAATCAAACTTGAAACTACTTAAACTAATGGTCTGAGATCAGAATTCCTCAAGATCTAGATATGTGTTTTATTATAATTTAAGTTGAGGAAGCAATGAAGTTAAAAGTAGAAATATTTTTTTTGGATTCAACAGAAAGTCTGATAAGATCTCAAATTATGTTAAACACAATTTGTTGACTGACAATCAATGGAAGATGGTATTTGAAAGCAGAGTATATACAAAAGCTGAAAGTTATATACAAATATGTCCCATTCAGTAATATAATCAAAAAGTCTGGGGGCCTACACTTAATACTTTCAATATCAAAAAGGAGCCATTCTGAATATTGCTTATTCTTTTGATAATACAAGCATCTCTCTGTACCTTTTTACAGAGAAACTCTTATAATCACATTGAAATGAGTACAAAAATCTAACTTCTATTTAGAACTCTGTGAAATACGTGCCATATTTGAGTATTAAAATGAATTTGAATTTGTACTAATGGTAGTGCAATGCCAATAAATAAAAAATAAATATTCTGCTATTCTGTAAATGTAAAATTCAGACTCTGATATCTTGATGATCAAGCATTTCATTTGTGATTTTGTTGATGTACACAATCATCCTACCTTGGTTTCCTCATGCATTCTCCAGTGGAAAAATCATTCACAGTGTGATGAAAATATCATCTTAACCCAAAATGTCTCCACTACTTGTTAAAGGAAGATTCTAAAATCACTTAGTCTTTAGATTAAAAAAAATGTTTGGATTACACGGGATAGAGCTACTCAAAGAAGCTGATGTAGAATAGAAAATATAAATGGATGTCTTCAGGAAACAAGTACCCCAAATTTATTTTAAATTTTTTAAAAAAATTTTATTTGACTTTTTGGGTCACACCTGGTGATGCACAGGGATTACTTCTGGCTCTACACTCAGGAATTACCCTGGCGGTGCTCAGGGGACCATGTGGGATGCTGGAAATCAAACCCGGGCATGCAAGGCAAATGCCCTACCCGCTGTGCTATTGCTCCAGCCCCCAGTACCCTAAATTTAAAGGGACTGTTTGCTTACACGAGGGAGGATCTAAAAAAAATAGGGCATGTAAATATAGGGATATTCAAGTCAAAGTCTAGTATGTTTGCTGAACTACCTCTAGAATTAGATTGATGTTATTGTAAATAAGGGATAAAAATTAAATAATTTAAATCCATTTATGAATATATATACATATATATTACCTTTATTTGACACACCTGGCAGTGCCAAGGAATTACTCCTGGTGGGGCTCAGAAAAACACATGTGGAGCTGGGAATTGAACCTGGGTCTGCCACATACACGTGGCAGGTACCCATTATAATATCTTTATTTTCCCTTCTTTTCAGTATCAGCTTCCTTGTCACTTCATGTTCAAATCAGTTTTCTTGTTAACATTTTCCAAACTGTCTAGCATCTTTTCTTTCTCATCACTTATAACATTAGTATTTGCTTAATTTTCCTCTTTTTACCATAAATGGAAGAAAGATATGCAAAACATTTGTTTCTTGCTAAAATACCAGTTTCTACCAGAGTGCATCCAACGTAACAGGAACTCAAAAATAAAAATTTAATAGCCTCAAATCTTCTTGGAATCAATGATACAGTTAGAAAAAAATTATAATCTAGAGGCCAGATTTCCCTCTTCAATTTTTCCTCCAAATTTGGATAAAAAAGAAGCAAGGGTGAATCTGAATCTTGAAAATGACATGCAATTAGAATAATGTTCTTGAATGCTTTAATGGTATTTATTAAAATTCTAATTTTTATTTTTATGACATTTCATAAGCATTTCATTTTGAATACAAATCTTTTTTTATCATATGTGTTTTATAATATTGTGACCTGGAGTTTTCACCTTCTAAATATGTCTTTCAAAGAGCAGAATTTTTACAATGTGAAGGCTAATTCATATATTCTTATAGGGATTATGATTTAGTGTCATATCAATGAGATACATAAACCAAAGCTACAGCGATTTTCTTCTGAATTTCCCACAGAATTTACAGTTTTGGTCTACATGTATATTATATGTCTCTGATTATAAGCGAATATTCTTTTGCATATGAATGTCCAATTATTCTAGTACCATTTGTTAGAAAAAAGTTACTCATTATCCATTTGTCTCTGTGTCATTGACAATGATCTGTTTATTGTCTATATATGAGTCTATTGCTGGACTCAATTATCCAATATATCTTTTAGTCAAACCACACATTCTTTATTACTTTTTTATGATAGGCTCCAAATAATGCAAACATTGTTAGTATTTTTCAGAATTATTTGGCTATTCTTAGAATCTTTGTTTTTTCTTGTAACTTCCAAGTGATATTACTGTTACCTCAAAAATATTGTTGAGACATAGAAAGATTGCATTCATCTGGGGAACATAAAGTAACAAAATAGGAGACTAACACCCAAGAGTGGCCAAGATTAGGACCACGAGTTTTGCTCCATGGCTTGGAGGCCAGCCACACACTCTAGGGGAAAAGGGAGCTCAGGTAGAGAAAAGAGCACCAAATAAAAGGTGGTGGGAGGATCCTCCCAGGATGGGAAAAGCATGCTGAAAGTAGACTATAGACCAAACATAATTGCCACTCAATGTCTCTTCTGCAAATCACAGCACCCAAAAGGAGAGAGAGAACAAAAGGGAATACCCTGCCACAGAGGTAGGGTGGGACGGGGGATGGGGGTTGGGAGGGATACTGGGACCCTGGTGGTGGAAAATGGGCACTGGTGGAGGGATGGGTGTTTGATCATTGTACAATTGAAACCCAAGCACAAAAATTTGTAAATCTACAACTGTACCTCATGGTGGTTCACTAACAAAAATTAAAAAAAAAAACATGTAAATGATGGAGAATGGGCACTGGTGGAGAGATGGGTACTGGATCATTGTATAACTGAAACCCAAGCACAAAAATTTGTAAGTCTATAACTGTAACTCATGGTGTTTCACTAATAAAAATTTTAAAAAATATATTGTCAAAAATTTGATTGGTATGTACACTATCAATTGAACTACTTTTAAACTTTAAACACTCAACTATGTCAAATCTTTGTCAGCAAATTCATTTTTGTTAAGAATACAGATGAGTGGCTGGAGCGACAGAACAGTTGATAGGGTGTTTGCCTTGCAAGTGGCCAACCCAGCATCCCATATGTTCCTGAGTGCATGAGCCAGGAGTAACACCTGTGCATTACTGAGTGTGATCCAAAAAGCTAAAGAAGAATACAGATGATCCTCTGACAAAGAGTGAAATGGATTTTAAACATGAGCAGCTCAAAGATATTGAGTATTGATTGGTGATTCTAAACATCCTGGAAATGTAGGAACTATTAAGAGGTGGTGCTAGTAAAGACTTACAAAAGTGAAGAAGGTAAGCACTATGAAGTAGAAAGATATTTGTAACTTAAGAAAAGAAGATAATACTATAATTTTCTATGTTCACAGAAAAATTAGTCTAGTAAAAGTTACCCTGTTCCATTTTCACTCCCAAAGCTTATACTGCCTCATTTCCATATTAATATTCATAGGCACAGACTGACAGACGGTGATAAAAATCTCCTGTCTTACACATAAAAAATGTTCTCTGAAATACCAGCAGAAGCACCATATCTATATAGCAGATTAAACATAATGATTGACTAGCATTATAATTATCTGGAAGCTTTTCATCTTATTTTTAAATGCTATTTTCTCCCTACAAGTAGACATAGAAAAAAAATAAAAATATTTCACCTGGATGAAGATCTGTACCTGGTTGACTAGTCAGTCCTGGGAGTGATTCCTGTAGTTGGTAGGTTGAGGTGGAGGATGATGTGCCATCAGCTGTGCTATTTGATGTCATATATGCGCCATATGTTGATGCCGAATAATACTGTGCATACTGGTTTTGGCCAAAGGCTGTATAAGATGGATAATCCTGTAACAATAATTGAGATACCTACTTGAGTGTGTTTCAAAGGGAAATTTTCCAATAGTATGTTTTCAAATATTCATAGGCACATACTAACATACTATAAAACAAAGCTCCCAGAAGAGAATGACGCAGAACCTCCTTCCCCTGCATCAGGTTATCTTCACCTGGGCCCCTCAGAAGGGGGTGTGTTGAGTCTCCCTCCCTGCTCCAAACAGAGCCCCAGCAGCCGAAAACCTCCAGAACCCAGCCACAGCCATGCTCACAGCCAGTCTCCACTTGCTTGAATGAGCCTCACCCATGAGGGAACCAAGAGAGGAACCCAGAGGGACCCATGGCTGAGATCTCCAAGCCTGCTTGGATGGGGACTGGGCCTCCTACACCCAGAGCCCCAGGCTGTCTTCACCAGGGCCCCTCGGAAGTCCTTGCATGAAGGAACCAGCAGAAGAACCCAGGTATGCGGGACCCGTCGCTGAGATATCCAGGCTTGCTTGGATCGGGACTGGACACCCTCCACCCAGATGCCCCATTTTTCAGCAGCTTGGCAGTCACACTCAAAAACTGCCCCCAGTGCCATGTAATCTCATCAACAACGAAGACCCAGAGACTATAAAACAAGCTCCTGGAAGAGAGCGATGTAGTTTCTCCCTTTCAGAGAGCCCGGCAAGCTACTGAGAGTATCCCGCCTGCATGGCATAGCCTGACAAGCTACCCATGACGTATTTGATATGCCAAAAACAGTAACAATAACGGGCCTCATTCCCCTGACCCTGAAAAAGCCCCCAATATGCCACTGGGCTACGCTAGCACGTGAAAGAGATGAATGGAGATGTTACTGGCACCTGCTTAAGAAAATCAATGAACAACAGGATGAGAAGTGAAGTGATACAAGCAATGTTTTCAAAAAGATCAAACTGTGGAAATTAAAGGCAAGTATTTGGTTCCCTTTGATTTAGGGTCCACAGTTTTGAGATTATGAGTGAAGACGATTTTTTTGGCATCTTTTATGTGAACATCAGAAAAATTATCTTAGTGGCTTAGCAAACCCATTTTGGTGCAAAGATTTTAATCTGCTTAAAATTTAAAATTTTAATTGTTGCATACTCTCCATACTTTACTTTGTCTCCATAATTACTTATTGAAGCACTCATTCATTGGGCCTTATCCATTTGAAAAGGTAGAGTCAATTTATGCTAATAATATATACTCTCGCATAACCAGCAAAAAAAGAAAAAGAGGCATTTATGTGTAATTTGTGTTCTTCTATGAGACTCAGTGTTTCCTTTTTTTTCTTTTTGGGTCACATCTGGCAATGCACCGGGGTTACTCCTGGCTCTGCACTCAGGAATAACTCCTGGCAATACTCAGTGGACCATATGGGATGATAGGAATCGAACCCGGGTTGGTCGCATGCAAGGCAAACACCCTACCCACCGTGCTATCACTCTAGCACCCGACTCAATGTTTTCTTGACGAGGCAAATAATAAATAAGATGAAAAAATATGTTTTTACCTAATTGCTTCACAGGTCACACGCAAACTGAGGTCTTGACTTTAACTTCATAGTGAGGTTTACAAATACTTAATTTGCCTCATTTCTTTCAAGGAAAAAGGAACTACTAGGCCAATAGCTCTCCCTTACTTTTATCAAAGAGTCCAAGAAAACTTAAATTGATTTAAATGATTCTTCAAAATTCTTTCACATATTAAATTAATGAGTAAAGATCTGTTGCAATAATTGTTTTTCAACATGTCTAGCATGTTTTAGCCCAGTGGTTATCAATGCTGACAAAGCTTCAGTCATCAGGATGAAAGGTATTAAGATTTCTCAATACACTATCCTGGGGAGGTGGGGGGAAAGATCTACTTTTGGTAGAGATAGCCAAAGAGGAAAATTTCTATGTAAGTATTAGCATAAATACATATGTAGCCTGTTAGAAAAAAAATGAGGGGTATGGCATAAAAACCAATTCTATTTGTTAATTCTATTAACATATTAACATGACTTACATATTAACAAATATAAGATTATATATTGCCTACTACCCTGGGAGTGAAGAATTAAAACTCTTAGTAGTATTTGAACACAGCTCTGAGCATTATGACTATTTGAGTAAAATAATAATAGCAAATGCTTATACGGAGCTTCCTTCATGTATAGAAAGCTTACCTCAGGGTCAGATATCACTGTAGCACTGTACTCCCATTGTTCATCGATTTGCTCAAGTGGGCCCAGTAACATCTCCATTGTGAGACTTGTTGTTACTGTATTTGGCATATCGAATATGTCACGGATAGCTTGCCAGGCTTTGCTGTGTGGGTGAGATACTCTCGGTAGCTTGCCAGGCTCTCTGACAGGGGCAGAGGAATCGAATCCGGGTCAGCCAGGTCAGCTGAGTGCAAGGCAAACACCTGACCCGCTTTGCTATTGCTCCAGCCCACAGTGTTAGATACTGTTTTAAATTCTTAAATAGATTTACTCATCTGATTATTCCAATACCCCAAGCAGTACCATTTTATGTAGAATGGGATGAAAGCAGAATGATTAAGTGATCTTCTAAGGTCAGACACCCAGCAAATGTCACAGATGGAACTGGTACCCAGAGATCCTGAGCCTGGCATCTGCAGGCTGAGGCTCTCATTAAGCTTCTATTTCCTTTAAAGGAGTATGAAATTCCTAACAGGACAGGTCTAGTGTCTAATGTATAATGTCCTTTTATACTCAGACATGTATCAAAGATCTCTCCTCTTCATGTCTATTATTGTCATCAGGTCCTTTACTTCCTGTTGCAGCCAATAGATCGTTTTTCTAATTCTTCTCCTCATTTCCATTTTTGGCTTTCTCCAAAGTCCTTGAAGCCAAAGTAATCTTTTCAAAACATTAATTACACACTATTTTCCTGCTCTAAATCCTTTTAATAGCTTTCCAGTGGGCTTGGAATAGAACTGAAATTCCTTATTATAAACCACAGGGCTCTCCATTAGCATGCCCTTGCTTATCTCAACATATGTATATTTTCCCACCTGTCCTTCAAATACAAAATAAAATACAGGATTTTGTGTGTGTGTTTGTTCACTGACACCAAGTTTTTCACTTTTCAGGGGTTTGGTACATGCTGTTTCTCATGTGTGGCCTCATTACTCACTTACCTCTTAGAACATGTGGTTATTTTCATAGACAGCTTTCCATAAAATTTTCTCCCACTCAAAATTATATTTCATTTAGTATTTAATAGGATTCTGTTCCCTTGTGCTTTCTAATTCTATATCTCTTATGTGTTTACTAGTTCACTATTTGCTTCTTTCATGAGACTCTGAGTTCCATGAGACAGGAATCAAGTTCCATTAACTCTTGCACCATCTTTGGATACCTAGAATACAGACCAGTTCCTAACATCTGAAGTTCACTCAGGAAGTACCTGTTAAAATCATATTTCTACTCAGAAATATGGCCAAAAGTATAGACTGTATTTTATACTTTCAGCCATTGCATTTACTTTTTCAGTAAGTCCTGGATTTGTTTTATGACATAAATCTTAGGTAAAAAATTTTCTTCTCCTTGATCTTTCACTCTCTCATATCATAGTCTTTTCCATAAGCCATAACACCAAGTAATGCATATTTATATTAAAATAATTATTATTTTAATAATATATAATATTAAATAATATTAATAATAATATTCCTATTTGTACTATTTTCACATGTTTCTTTAGCAAGATTATAACCTTTCATATATCTTTGAATATTTAATGTATAGTCAAATATCTAATGCATAATAATATTTAAAATGATATAACTATAATATAGAATGTAATTATTGTTTAATAATATATCAAATAAGTATGTTCTGTATTAATAAATAAGCAAGATTAAGCTACCTGGATGTTGAAAATCCTTGTTTTCTAAATACATCTGTAATAGTGTTCTGAAGTTTTTAAAAGTCATTTTTTTAAACTGATGCTAAGTGTCACAGTTTACTCCTATCAAAATTTTTTTCCACACTATTGAAGAAACAAATTTTTGTAACTTCTTTTATTTATAAATAATAAAAGAAGGCGATTTAATATAATTCCTTCTGTAAATCAGGTTTTTGTACAGTAATTCAGAATATGTAAAATTCCAGAAATTTTATTAATATATTTGTGTATTGCCTTACAGTCTACAAATTCAACTCATATCAGCTCTATGAAAATAGAAAGTAAGAAGTAAGAAAAATGGACTTTTTAAAATAGTATCTACAATAAATTAATTTCACATGTCAGTTCTCTCAATCAGATATATTAACTGTAGGAACAGTGACAAAAACAAACAAAAATTTAAAGCTGTCAGGAAACAGAAAACAAATATTTACTAAAAGGAATCATATACGTTTTAAAAAGTCGAGACAATTTGATAGTAACAAATTTAATGGTCTTTGAGTCTTTCCAATTCAAAATAATGTCCATAAACATCAAGTACCTAGGGAAAACTTAACAAAATATGGTAAGAATTCTATACCATGAAACCTTCAAAACACTTAATAAATAGACAATCTTAGTAAATGGAAAAATAATAAATGCTCTTGGATTAGAAGAATACTGTCAAAATAATGTTCCTACCTAAATTATTATATAGATTCAATGAAATCTATCCAAATTCAGACATTCTTCAATGACTTAGAATAGTCAATAATAAATAAGTTTTTATAGAATCATAAAATACCCCAAATAGCCAAAGTCATACAGAAAGATAAGAAACTGAGAAGTATCTCATTACTTAACTTGAAACTATACTATAAAGCCATAGTATCAAAAGAGTGTGGTACTGGAATAAGGAGAAACTCTCTGACCAGAATGAATATCCAAAATTAACCCTCAAATTTAATTTGCAACAAAGGTGCTGAGAGCATAAAATGGAGTAAAGACAGCCTTTTCAACAAATGGTGCTGTCAAAACAGAAAACTCAAATGTAAAACAATAAAGCTGGATCTGTATTTTACACCTTACACAAAAGCCAATTAAAAGTTGATCAAAGACCTGGAGCTCAGACTTCAATCTATAAAGTACACTGAGGAATATAGGTGGATTCCTCCATGATCTGGACCTTGACGGTATTTTCAATAATACAATGCTACTGGCAAAGGCAGTGGAATAATAAACAAACTAATGGACCTACTTCAAATCGAACAGATTCTTGCATGGCAAAAACACAAAACTAAAAGATAAAAATGGGGAGTGAAAATGAACAAGAACTTCTCTGAAGAAGACAAATGACAGGCCAATAGGCACATAAGAAAAGGCTCATAATTACTTATAATTATGGAAATCCAAATCAAGATGAGCATCTCATACCAGTGAGAATGCATATCAAAATTACTGGGAAAAATTTGTGTTTACAGGGGTGTGATGAAAAAGAAACCATTGCTGCTGAAAATATCGCCTGGTTCAACGTTTGTGGAAAATATCATGGAGATATCTCAGTAAAATAAGAATTGAACTCGATATGACACAGAAATTCCACTTTCAGATAACTACATCCAGGATGCAAAATCATTCATTTAAAAAGATATATGAAGACTATTTTACATTGCAGCCTTACTACAATAGTTACGATATAGAATCAACCTAGGTGTCCAAAAGTAGATAAGTGGATGCTAAAGATGTGCTATATATACACGACAGAATAGTACACAGCCATAAAGAGAGATTAAATCATTCAAATAGAATTGAAAGACAGTGTGTTAAGTGAAGTAAGCCAGAAAATAAAGGCAAACAAGAATAAGCATGGTCTAACTTATATGTGGTAGATAGAATAACTAGATGAGAAAATGCAGCGTTTAGAGGGGGATGCCTAGATCTCCTTTGGCCCTGAGAATAGGGAGAAGGGCAGAAAAGGAAAGAAATGGAAAAGGAAGAAGTGTTAGATGGGGAGCAATCAGGAGCAGGGGTCAAAGGTATCCAAGTACACTGGTGACAGTGGGAAATGGGCACTGGCGGAACGATGGGTATTTGATCATTGTATAATTGAAACCCAAGCACAAAAATTTGTAAGTCTACAACTGTACCTCATGGTGTCTCACTAATAAAAATTAAAAATAATAAAAAAAACAAAAACAAAACAAAACAAAAAACCAGTATAGCTAAATTTCCAAACCACAGAAACTTGAAAACAAAAGATCCAAACTTCAACAATGAGGAACTGGGACAATAACACAGTGCCTAGGGCATTTGTCTTGCTCGTGGCCAACCCGGGTTCGAACCCCAGCATCCCATATGGTCCCCCAAGCATCATGCACTGCCAGGAGTATTCGTGAGTGCAGAGCCAGGAGTAACCCCTTTGCGTCACCAGGTGTGACCCCAAAAGCAAAAAACAAACAAAAAAAACCTTCAACAATGAAACTTAAAAATTTTCCTGATAAGCTGGGAGACTGGGAATGAGGATGAGCTGGGATGGAACCTGGGACCCTAGCAAAGGAAAGAAAACACTGCTGGTTGCCTTGGTTCTGAAACATAGTATGTCTAAAGCCGAACTATAAATAATTTTGTAAATCATGGTTCTTTAATTAAAAAATTGTATTAGACAAATCAGAATCTAATGATTAATGCTCATAATAACTACTCTATCAAAAATTCGATTATGGTTAGTGTAATTAAATGTAATAGGAAATCATTTTTGTGATTCATGCCATATAATTAAAAAGATTACAGTTTAAGTGTTTAAAGGACAACATCTTTTGCAACAAGAAACCTAAAATATACAGAATATACACACCTAAGAATTCTAAAGAATTAATTTTAATACACTGAAATGCTATCTAAATTTTAAACAGAGAAACTTATTCTGGGAAAATATGTGCTTATACGGATCCTGGAACTCTTTAAAAAATATAAAGGAGACAGAAAGAGCATAAATAATAACAGAAAATTATTTACCATACCTGTTGTGAACTGCTAAAATTTGTTGAATTGGAAACTGAATTATTTGCATAAATAGTAGAGGACGGTGCAAAACTAGAACCTAGAAGAAAAGAACAAATTGCATTTAAAATATTTCTTATAAAATAACAAAAATACTTCCCTTTGCAAAATTCATTGAAAGCAATATATTTTAATCTTTCTCAAAAGCAATAAAATTTGAAGCTGAGATATTTCTAAATACAATGTGCTCTCTATGTTGTATAGGTCAACCAACAGATAATTTCTTATCTCCAGAACTTTTTTGAAGATGTACAAGAATGTGAGACAATTTTTTAAATGGCTGCAACTATCTTCTAGGTTAAGAATCTAAAAGAGCAGGAGTACTCAGAGAATAAAATATTTCAAAGAATGACTACTTTTAGAAATGATAGGGAACTTCAGAAGGTCCTATTTGTTGCATATAGGACCTGGGGTGGATGAACAGTAGAAGAAACAAAAACCCAGAATTTATTGAGAATTGCAGCTCAGAACATGAAGACAGGGAGCTTTTGCAGTCTTTCCCTTAGAACAAAAGAAATATATGAACTCAGGGTCCAGGTTCAAGGGAGACTATTTGCATTGCATTTAGCTGACCTTTTAAAATCACAATTTTATTTTTAAGCACTGCAGGAACAAGTGAATTAATAGAGGGAAAATGTAAGCCCTTCATGGGAGAAATCTACTTGTTAGGAAGAAATGAAACACTTCTGAGGCAGTTGATTACGTATTTTTTCAGTGTGTGTCTTTTTATAATTTAAATTATTTTATTCCTCCCAATAAATGAGCATTGACTATTTTTTTTAATTTTTTATTAGTGAGACACCATGAGGTACAGTTGTAGACTTACAAATTCAATTCACATGGACTGAAATGCCCAATATGAAAACACGTGGGGGAATTAATGAAAACATTTTTTTGTCTCTCCCACAGTGTTAAGGGGAGCTTTGTCGATTACTATGGCTGTAGAACATGAAGCATAAACAATAGATATAAGTATGTTTCTGCATACAGTTGAAAAAAGTGACCAGGCATTTTAGTGAAAGAATCTGAATAATTATTTCATTTTATTAAATTAGCTACAAATTTTAATACTATTGGTTCAAAATGTTAATTTTTCTCATATATACGATATTATAAAATATCTATTATATAGGTAAGATATAAAATACTATATTATATTCAGATAAAATAAAAGTGATTTATATAAAATATCAGGAATAATATAAGCCATTGGGCTATACTAGCATGCGACAGGGATGAATGGAAAAGTTAATGGTGTCTGCTCGAGCAAATCGATGAGTAACGGGATGTCAAGTGATCAAGTGATTCTAGTGATCAAGAATAAGTTTTGATGTTCCAATTAGACCACTAAAATTATTTCTGAAACTGCATCACGATCAAGCACAATAACACAACTCAAAAACAAGAAGAAAAAACAAGTGATAATTATATACAGAGACATTTAGTAGGTATATATTATATAAATACTCCTATTAAGAAATATAATATCAATAGGGTAGAGATATTTTAGGAATTAATAAAAAGCCTCAGTGGTAAATCGGATTTAGAAAAGTGCTAATTTAATTTTAAACATTTATTAAAACAATGTATACTACAAGAAAATACTGGTTTTTGTTGGGAATCTTTGAAATTACTTAAAGAGATCCCAAACATATGACTGGCTTGGAGGCTGCTTTTCTTGGACATAAGTTTCAGTTGCATAAAATTGGCAGGAAACTAAGTATTGAAATTTAGTATGGGCCATGCTATTTGATGTATAATCAACTCTTTTCCTCACGTTTCTTTTGAATTATTTGTCACTTCTGGTAACATTGCGTAAGCAGCGGTACCACTTAAAACTGTCTTCAGTTAGAAAATTCCTTATGTTCCAAGTCTGAGGCCTGTGAGTCCCACTCAAAGTATCTATCATGAAATGTGAGCTTACTCACCTGGCATCTGGTAGGAATAAGGTGTCTGCCCTGGTTGTGGAGTTGAGAACCCTGGGCTGTAACTGAGGCACCCACTTTGTAACGGGGACTGAGTTTGTGAAAGTCCACTCTCGGTCTTAATGCCTGGCAACATCACGCCTAAGTCTGTTTGGAAAAGGCATGTGAAAATCATTTAATTAGTACAATGATCTTATTTCTGCAAGATTATCTGCTTAATAACCAAGAAGGAAGAAACAGATAATATGAAATACCGTAAGTGGGCAGGCTGTAGGGCTGTCCAGTCTGAGAGTAGGCTGTGTAGACGGCTGGCTGCTGCATCCCCGAATACTGAGTCTGGCTTGCATAGGCAGACATAGTTTGAGCTGCTGGTGTAGAAAGAATGTGTGGATAGGGCCTAAATATCAGAAAAATAGCATTACTGTGGCAACAAAGACTGCATATTCATTCAGACAACTTAGAAGCACTGAAACCTTATAATAGCCAGGAATAAATCTTCTTTATATACAATAAATTTTTAACAACGTAGGGATTTATTAGCCGACATCAGGGGTCTGGATTCTCTGGCAAACAAGAATGACCGTCTCACTATAAAAATGACTTTGTCTAGATATTAAATCCAAAGTCTCTTTCAGTTTATAATTACTTTTTACTTCTGAAGTAGCATTCTGGTTAATATCTGAATAAAATGAAGTACAGGCCTCTTAATTAATATACTCATTAACATATTTCTACTACCATGAGTAAACTAAAGTATGCAAAAATATAAAAGTCACTTAAGGTCTTGCCAAGAATTCTCTACCCAAAACTGAAAAACTAAAGTGGGGGGAAGGTATGGGGAGATAAACAGGTTCTTGAGAAGAAATGGAATGACATTTCTTTAATTATACACACTATTTATAATGTTAAGGAAAGACACTCTGGCTGTTACAGAAAATAACATAGGAAATAACATTTTAATGGACCAGGAATTAAAATCTAATCATATCTGACAATAGGAACCAAATTTAGCATTATAACAATGTAGTATTTTCTTTCACTGTTCTTATTATACTGACTATATTAATTATAAAAATAAGAGGGTTCTTTTTTGGACAATAACCACTGTCTTCTTTCTAGTAAATGATTTAAATGAACCAATATAAAGGTAAGAGTAGATGCACCTAGTAAGACCTCTGCACTATAAAAAGAATTGTAAAAGCAAGAGCTTGAAATGAAACAAAATAAACTTTATTTATTGTTTTTTGCCTTTTCAGATTACACCCAGTGATGATCAGGGGTTACTCCTGGCTCCACATTCAAGAATTACTCCTGGGGGTACTTGGGAGACCATATGGAATGCCGCAGATCTAACCTGGGTCTGTCATTTGCAAGGCAAACATCCTACCTGCTGAACTATCTCTCTGGCCCCTGACAAATAAATTTAAATGATGAAAGAAATCATGAAATGGTAATGTTGAAACATTTGGTTTGTTCTTGATACATCTATCAAGGCATATGCATACCAGATTTAAGAGAACTATCTATATAAAATTAAGTAAGTTATCCAAGTAACTAATCAAATATTTATTTAACATACATCTATCTGTGTACCTAAAAATAACTAAATCTATAATTTCTATATAGATTAATAAAGATAATTCTTGAAAACCTTTTAAAAGAAATCTGAAAATGTATGCTGAGCACTTACTTGGAAGGATACAGTTGTGGGGAATATTGATGTGCTGATCTGGGACTATAGCCACTACTTGTTATTACTGTAAGACACAAAAAACAGCGCACAAAGGTTGATAAATATGTCACAAGAATATATGAAATAATTTTGAAGAAAAAAATGTTAAACATCTGTTACTGAAAGTTCGTTTGCCTAAAAGAAAAATAAATTCATTGGAGAGAAAACTCAATAGTATTCTAATTAAACTGCTCAAAATTTGTAGAGAGAGCAGAAAGTCAACATCCTTCTTACAAACCATCCCTCACCATCATTGTCTCAGATTTACAAATCAGCTGTATGCTTTTTTCTATTAATGTGCCACGAGTATCTTTGATTTTAAGTAAATAATATCGATGTAAGTTTTTTAATTTTATGCTATATATTTTAAATACAAAATATGATGCTGGTATATTCCTCTTCTTTCATATTAATTTTAAGGAAAATATAAATCAAGAAATATTTAAATTTATAACTTTAATTTTCAAATTATAAAATGCTGTCTTTTTTAAAATTTCCTTACATTTTACAATTGAGATGAGAAATTAAAACTGCATAGTTCAAAATTCTCTCTTATATTGGAATATATGCATAGAAAGCATAGCATAATACAATGCATTAAAGATAATATAATGCTTAAAAAATAACTGCAGCATCAAATTCACAAATATATTTTGAACAAAATTCAAATGCATTTTTAGTAGTATGTTAAAGTATTAAATACTATTAGAATATAATTCAAAATATTTGATGGCAGTTTTTTGAGAAAAATTTAAAGGTGAAATTTAGGTCATATTAACATTTCAAATGAAACACACAGCCCAAAACTGGAATATATCCAAAAATTTGGAAGTTTTTCTTTCCTGTAACCATCTGCCTTGACTAAGACAGATGTATTGCAAATATATGGACTCAAAAGTGTCGAGGTAGTCCCTTCAGAGTCAATCCATACTGGGCAAGCACACAGAGTGTCTTTATTAGGCCATCTGCTGTTCATTCACTTTTCAAAAAGATTAAAGTAGTACACAATGAAGCACTGGAATTAGTTTAGTCTAATCAATCATAGTTATACTTCAAAGTACTATGTCCTTTCTAAGTTGTTCATAATAATTCTAAAGTTAAACGTTGAGAATTGTAAAAGTGACAAATAGGCTTAGGTTGCTAACTATTTAATGAAACATGATATATTTCTATAACCAAATGCAATTAAGTACCCTTGTGATCTATTGCTTCATAAATTAATGTGTTTAAAATGCTATTTGGCCTATAAGCCCTGAGTATGAAAAATATAGTTTCTATAAAATAGCAAAGAAAGTAATTTCAAGGATATGAGTAAATTTTAAAAATCATCAAATATGACTAAAGGTGTTACATTCAAAATATTTTTAGCAATTAAGAGTTAAGTGAATTTGCTATGGGTATCTGAAAATAAATTTACCAATAATTTATTAATTCCTACAAATTTATTAAAAACTTAAAGAATGTTTAAAACTTTCAGATAAACTTAAGGAGAGCATGCTTTTTCCTACCACACCACAGGAATCCAGTTTACAGTATATAATGGCAACAGTATTAGCCCACAGGAAATTTAGTCTGACTAATTAATTAACAATAGTGAATACTCTGTTTAGGATAAAATAAAATTGGAGGTGACTTAATTCTATGTGAGTATTTTTGTTTCATTTATAAAACTTCTTTTTGTCATTCTCAAAGCTTGGACTATACTAATAACTTAGGGTTGTGTAACACAAAGATTTCTAAAAAGATACATATAATGCAAAGAAACTTTCAATAAAGATGATCTTATCAAATAGTCCAAAAAAGAAAACTATTCAGTATGTCCATAAACATTAAGAAAATATTGAATGTAGAGGATTTTGCTTTCCTCTAATGAACAAATATAAAGTTTATATCATCATAATAATGTACTAACAGTATAAAAGTCCATCCTTTAAATATCCCTTTAACGACTATGTTAATTTTATAAATAGAATGCAAAACTTTTGGCTCAGAAAATGAAGATGTTCTCATAAGGGATAAAATGTGGAAAGCCTATGCTTCTAAACTTCAGATAACTGAAATCAACAACAAAACATGACCAAAGCGAAGGCTGTTCTAATACAGGGTAGCCTAAGTTACAGTATGAGTTTTGAATACCATGTACATATTAGGACACTTTCCTTTTGTACCCCATTGTCATTGAATTAATCAAGATATGTTACCCAAAGAACTCAACTCATTATACGCCACCATTTCTGCATACAAAAGTAAGCAAAACTGCTTGTCTTCAAAATGTCCTGAAAATTAATCAAAACAAATTTTAAATGAATATTGTCAAATTCCTAGAGGGTTCTGTCAAGCAATTTTAAAGCTGTACTTGTATTATTATTGACCAAGTGACTGCTTATATTAGTGATTCTCTTAGGGTACAGGATGAGGAACTAACTAGAGGAGGGGATGTAAATCTTGCCTGTAGGGAAAATTTTAGAATTTCTGAAGGCATTTTCTGTTGTCATAACTGGAGGGTTGAAGGGGAAAGTGCTGCTGTCATCTTGAGATAAATTATAAACATCTTATAATGCAGATATTAGCTCTTCCATAATAAAAATTAGACACATTTATTCCATGCAGCCAATGAGGGTTCAATCCCAAGCATCATATATGATCCTCCAAGCCCTGCACAGAGTGATCTCTGAGTACAGAGCCAGGAGTAAGCCCTGAACACTCCAAAATGTGGCCCAAACCACTCATCCTGCTTTAAAAAATAAAAAAAGGTAAATTATTAATATGCCAAAGTTTAGAATCCTTGACTTAGATGAGTTCTTTCCAACAGAACTTGGCTCAAGATGTTGAAAAGATTCCATATTTGAATTCTACAATATGGCTGCTACACACACACACACACACAAAGTCACAAGCTGTGGTTGAACACTTAAAATGTGACAGTGTGCATACAAGAGAAATTTTTACTTTTACCAAAGTTTAATTAATTTAGACTTAAGTACCAACAGATGGCGAATTGCAACTTCTCTGGGTGATAAAGAACCTGATCATTTTAAAGAAAACTGAGAAACTACAAAGATAATCTGTACGAATTTTAGACAGAATGACTATGAACAACTAGCTCTTTTTCTACTTTCATATTTCCCAATGGGGTATTACAGAAAGAAGTCCACACTGATTAAGGAACTGTTCTAGATTCATTTAAGTCTGTGCATTTGTGGACTATATGGCTTGAACCACCTTTTACTTTTCCCTACCTCAATACACTTGCTTATAAAAATGTTTAGAAATCTGTGAGATTCCTTTTGGAGCTAACGATTTGTAATTTTGTCATGCAATTTTCTATTCACTTGACGTATACTGCTAAAATATGTCAATCAATTCTTAATTTAATGTTTCTCTTAAAAATCAAGTTTATATAATTTTCTTCAGAGAAAGTTCACAAGAGTTATATGATAGGAATGCTAGAATAAATTGTCACCTATTTATCTCAAGGGAGACAAATGGTTTCCAAGAAATCATGTGATTTAGTATACGTGAATACCTACACAAATTACATGGATTACTATTTCTTTATGTTTGGAGTACTAATATTTATCTGAGTGCATAACAGCTACTTTCAGAATCAATGAAATGGGATCACCTGTAGCTACAAAAATCAAGTAGCTGCTCTGATGGCATTATCCTCTAGGTTATACTCTAACTCTATACATGAAGCATTCCCACATAAAATCCTTTCACATGAGAACATAGATAAGTTCCAAAAATATTAAAGTAGAACAAAAGAACCACGACTTGCTTAGCACAAATACCATTCTAGGTTTAATGGTCAACTTTTCAGGAGAAAAATTCTTCTTCGTGTGAAGAAAAGAAGCCATTCCCTAGATTAAAACTAAAATTACTATAACTTACAAAAATATTTAAGTCAGCATAATGCTTGTCCTTTGCATCCACCTGGGTGTTATTGGGTATTTTTATTGAAATAGGATTGGTGTTTAAAGACAGGCTATTGTTCTCTTTTGAAGCATCAGAGTAAAAGTAGCTTGCTCACAGGCTGGCCCTAATACAACCAGCATGTGCTCTCCTGCAGCCCATTAACCTTTAATACTTGTCATTCAGATGCTTACACAAGAAGGTTTTTTTAAATTTTTTTTTTTAAACCAGAGGGAAACAAGGTTTCCTCTAAGGTTTCTAAATGAAGGACTCAAATCCATTGTTTTACGTCTCCAATGTTGGAGAGAAGGCAGTTTTTATGTCACTTAAATGGGCAAGTTGAAGGAACAAATCAACTATTACAACCTAATTATTGAATACTGTATAAAATAATTACGAAGGAAGTCAGCTCTGCTGACTTCTATTAAGAAGGCTGAGGACTATTAAGCTCTCAACTACAAGTCCAGCAAGCCGATTTCACGTATAATTTCTGAAAACATGTGCTTTATAATTAGTTCTCCAAAAAAAGTAAATTTATTGATTTATGAAAATCCAAAATGCAAATAGCTTTGCGGTTTTTGCTTTGAATCCATTAAGAGGATTGTGTGTACCCCAATGTGTACGCAACAACACACGAGCTTACGGCTTTACCTGACCCAGTAAATGTGTCAAGCGCTCCATCTCCAGTCGTGGTTGTGGTTTCACTGCTGTTCAAAGGCTCTGTTTTGACTGCAAGGAGAGACACTATATAGAAGAATAAGGACACGTGAGTTTTATTTCTAAACTTATATCAAAGACGCTGACTGTTCTAGTGTTTTTTCTAGCTACCATGGACATGCGAGAGAAAACTTGAGAAGTTGATGAGGAGAGTTTTGTTAATCAGCTTCTAAGGGGACATGCACTCATAGAGGATTTTATTTTTAAAAATCCCCTGGCTAAGCTTGTTCTCCCGAGAATTTTAAAGGCAGTCAACCTTAAAATGGAACAGCAGTATACATATCTACATTTAAACTCTCCTAAGTACGCTCAGATATTATAATTAAAACACAGAAAAGGGGAATCATCAGTTTTCAGCACATTTAATCAAAATCAAAATGAAGAAATTGATTGGTTTATATTTTGTTCTTCTTGAGATCATTAAAAAAAGTGACCATGTCAAAGTGCAATGAAGGCATATGTAAATTCAGAAACCTATTATGGGATGGGTGAAAAATGAGGTACTCAATAAATTTTCTGCTTTGAAAACTCAGAGTTCAAAGCTGCTAAGCTTTTTTAAAAAAATTTTTAATGGTAGAAGTAACTTAGGTTAGCAATGATTTCTATTTTAATAACTAACTCTCTTCAAAGCTTTTTAATACGTTATTTCATATTTGAGAAATTCTACTTTGGAAAAAAAAATCTCCACTAGACAATGATGTAGCCTGCCACAATTTATTGTCATTTTTAGATGTAATGAAAGATGAGAGGTGGTGAAAAATACTATTCATTTTGTCACACCATATTTTCCCTTCGGGGGCAAAGTTCTGCTACATATATTTCAGCAGCAGGGAATAAACAATTATTTTCTACTAAACACCTCTTAAGTTTTCTGGTCATAAGCGGAATAGTACAGTTAACTTGGAAGCAAGCAGAAAACTTTAAAGATGACTAATAACTGATACGTTATGAGCAAGAGCAGGTAAAGAAGAGTGGAGTCACAGTGGACCCTCCAAGCAAGGCAGCGATGTTACTCTCAGAAAAAGCGAAGAACAGAGCAGCATGCGCTCATGACTGTGCTCTCTTTCCTCATGAACCCACTACACTGAACCCTGCCTATAAGTTAATGTCAATGATTCAGCAATGTCATGGAGATTTTCTGTAGGATCTAGAGGAGGTTCAAAGGTGGGAAAGGGAACGTAAAGAACTTTGAATTACTTGTCAAAGCCAAATGGAAATTCAAGGTTGGCCTCTTTTTTAGAGGCAATGATATTTGAAGAGGAGGCTCTAGTTGTATTAATCATAAATAATGAATTGGAAGTTATGACTTCATTAATTTTTAATAGCACACCCTGTTATGGTTCTAGCTGATCACTATTTGTTTTTACCACCACAGATCGTTTACTACTTTAAATTGTTTTTAAGTTTATTATTTACTAATAATTAAAATCCAGCTAATCTTAAAACTTTCCTGATCAATACAAACCATAACATTCATTTTATATGCAAAGAAATTCAACGAGACTGAGGACTTCATGTATAATTTCTATTGGCTGGAGATGACAAATCTAAGTGGAGTTTCAGATCTAATTCCTATGATCTCTGCACTATAACTATGATTTCTGTCATTGGCTGGAGATGATAGATATGAACTGAATCTCGTATCTCATAGTTATGATCTCTGTACTACAGCCTTTATACGTGAGAATAACTCATGCCACATATGCCAATAGAAATGCTTCACAAAGGGTAGGGAAATATAAGGATATGGCTATTCTCGATACAATGTAAGTAAGTGAAGTACTTAAATATTTATTTCTTAGATGGGGAAACTAAAGTATAACAAGCTAAATAACTTGCTTAAAGTCACAAAATTCTGTAAGAGCTTGAAGTTGAAATTTGAAACTAGGAGGTATAGATTCATAATTCAAATTCAATGCTATACTGTCTCATAGGTAGTAAGTAAAGTAAAGAAGAAGTAAAGACCCTCCCGTTGATCGTCGATTTGCTCGAACGGGCCCAGTAACGTCTCCATTGGAGACTTTGTTGTTACTGTGTCTGGCATATTGAATACTCTCGGTAGCTTGCCGGGCTCTCCGAGAGGGGCGGAGGAATCGAACTCGGGGCGGCCATGTTGGCCGCTTGTAAGGCAAACGCCCTACCACTGTGCTATCACTCCAGCCATAGGTAGTACTAATCAATAATTTCTTTTGAACAAATATAAAAACTAGATAGTTTTTTTAGAACATAGCTTCTTAAACTATGTGCCTTGTTTCCATATGGGAGTCACATAGCTGAATGGGGGAGGGGGTGGGCAGGTGTCACAAAATTATTTTAAAATAAATTTGTGATTTACTATCAGTAAACATGTCTCTATATACCTATTTTTATATACCAAGGTTTCATTTAACGTAAACATTTCTTAGACCAAAAGAAGTCAGAGTGGAAAACTTTTAAGTAATCCTAATGTATAAGAGTATAAAATTTACTCTTGGTAATACAATGTTCACATATAATTTCTGACATTTATGGCAATATCAACAATCATCTTCAGTGAGACTGAGAATTTCTAAACTGAGCAGTGGCTAAATTCCTACTTAGAAATGCATAAATCTATAAGCAATACTTGTGATATATTTATTAGTACTACTCATAATATATATTTTGCAAACTAGCAAAAGGGAAGTAGAATATGAGCTTGGTCTAACAAAACTAGCCAACAACCAAGGCGTGAACATGAGTTTTGCCCACTTTGGAGCCTCACTTTGAGATTTGATTTTAAAATTTATTGTTGACCAGCAGCTTGGAGCAGAAAAGTGAAAGGACTATGCGTTAATCCAGGCCATCATGTCTGCCCGGAGGGGAAAGGGTGTTGCTCCCTTCTGCCCTCCTCCCTCTGGAAAGAAAGATGGTGGCCACATGGGAGCCTTGTGGACAGCAGGTATGAGCCGGGGGTGTGGGGGCGACTGAAACCTCATGGGTTGGGGGGCGTTCCGGTCCGTCCTTCACGCCCTACCGTGGCTGGCCCCCGCGAGCGCTCTCCAGCACAGCCACGGCCCCAGAAGCACAAGGACTTAATGCAGAACCCAGCAGCTTGGAGCAGAAAAGTGAACGGACTATGCGTTAATCCAGGCCATCAAGTCTGCCGGAGGGGAAAGGGTGTTGCCCCATTTGCCCTCTCCTCTCTGGAAAGAAAGATGGCGGCCGCATGGGAGCCTTGTGGACAGCAGGTATGAGCTGGGGGTGTGGGGGTGACTAAAACCTCATGGGAAGGGGGGCGATTCGGTCCGCCCTTCACGCCCTACCGAGGCCACCAGTTGCCCCCCACGAGCGGCTCTCCAGCATGGCCACGACTCCAGAACACAGAAACCAATTTCTTAACTATCTGACTTTCAGTAGAAATACTTCCAGGGTCAATAGGTAAAATAGCAGAAATCCAAAACCAACATTTAATTCTTGAACCCAGCTGTAGAAAGCAAATCACTTCACAATGCTTTTTCAGCATGTCTGATTTGGGGGGGGTAAACTCTAAATAATAGTGGTGAATCTTTTATTGAAACAGTGAATCTAATCAAAGCAGATAGAGTGTTAACTAGAATTCATCTGCCTCACAGGGACGGGGAGGGGTGGGGGGTGGGGTTTTATTGGGGTTCTTCATGGTAAAAAATAAGTATTGATAAAGGGAAATGTGTTTGATATTTGCATGACCGAGACCTAAACCTGAAAGCTTTGTAACCTTTCCCACAGTGATTCAGTAAATAAAAAAAAAAATTTATTGTTGATTTAAAGAATTATTATTGAGATCAATTATAACCTAAATTTGAAAGTTTCAGGTGAGAAAAAAGAGAAGGAATAAAAGGAAGAGAACTTTTGGCTGCATGTTTATTCAGGAAACATTCCCCATTAAATTCTAAAAGAATTATATTAAGTCAAGGACAAAGAAATTTCATTTCCTGAGAAATGACCTCTTTGAAAAATAAACATAGATAATCACAAACATCAAGTTGTTTTCATTACTCTAACATTCATGGATTTCAAAGTAATAATTCAAGGGCCTGGAGTGATAATACAGCAAGTTGGGCATTTGTTTTACATCTTGTCGACCCAGGTTCAATCCCTGGCATCCTATTTGGTTCCCAGAGCACCTCCAGAAGTAATTCCTGATTGCAGAGTCAGGAGTAACCCTTAAGCACTGCCAGGTGTGACCCCAAGGCCAAAAAATAGTAATGAGGAAAATTTAGGAAATAACTTCAGAGTAATTTAAATTTAATTTTCATATGAGCATATAATAATAATGGACATTTTAATAACAATCCCTTTAGCAGTTAATGTTACAACATTAATTATTTTAATTTTAGGAAAGGTTCAACAAACACCTCTTAAATTCCAACTAAGATGTAGTGATTTTGGTTTCATTGCACAAACAAAACTATATTGGTAAATATACATATTTTTCATAGAAAACGCAGGAAGAGAAAAAAATAGATAGCACTAAAATAATGAGGTTATTTACTCAAGATATTATAGAGTTCAAACAAATAACTTAATATTTATTAACATAACCAGTATACGAAATATTATAATATTAATGAAGTTTGAAAAATTTAAATAATTTTAATGAAAGGTTCAAATGTATTTGATATGTGTTCCATTTCTTTTGTTTAGCTTCCGCTGTAGTTTAAATGGCATATCATAAAATTCTTTAGTGGTAAGAAACTTTTTGGTGGGTTGTAAAGTGTTGCGTCACACCCTATTCAGGGTTACTTCTGGCTGTATGCTCAGGCATCATTCTTGGCAGTGCTCAGGAGACCATGTGCAGTGCTGGGGATCGAACCATGGTCAGACATGTGCAAGACAAGTTCAATACACCCTGAAATCACTCTGGAACAGAAAACTTTTTTTTTTTTTTGCTTTTTTGGTCACACCCGGCGATGCACAAGGGTTACTCCTGGCTCTGCACTCAGGAGCCACTTCTGGTGGTGCTCAGGGGACCATATGGGATGCTGGGAATCGAACCTGGGTCGGCAGCATGCAAGGCAAACGCCCTA